GACACTTAGACACGTCCAATTCCATTGCTGATGCAGATCATTTGAGATTTCCAGGGAACTTAAGGAATTGAGAGAGAGTTTTGTTAACTTTAATCTTAATGGAAAATCTGTTTTTTGTAAATGATATTGTTGCCAAAATTTGAAAACTTTTGTAAAGAGAGCAGAGTACAAGATTCTGGGGAATGGGAATACTATGGATCAAGTTTTATTCCTGTAAGAAAAAAATATAGTGCCATAAGAATAAATTAATATTCCCATCTTTTGGTTCTTTCTTATTATGGTTTTCATTTCAGAGGATTTGGCCTCTTAGCAGACCCCTGGCCCTCTGCTTTCTCCTGTTTTCTTTGCTTCCCGCTTTTGATCTGCTCAGCGCTTAGGCCTTTTTACTACAGTAAAAGTCTATAAGGTTTTCCATTTCTGGAAAGTTAGGCAGGGAGCAGAAGTTTCGATCCAAATCTTTGTAATTTGCGGCACGAGAACTCTTTCAGTAGCTGCCATGCATCTTTTATGGGGTTTGAACTGTTTTTCTTGAGAATTTTGTGCATTGCCTGTAGACCCACCCTGACACTGTTGGGGAAAAATAATATCCGGTGACAGTAGTCTTATTGGTGCTTTAGAAAAGGATAAAAATATGGAAGGCGGATTTATGAAGATGGTAATGAAAAATGGATCGCGTATTTTATCTCTCCCCTATTCACTGATTTTCAACTAAAATTAACCAAAAGCCAGTGTTTTTTAAAGCCTTGGCTATTTTATGTTATCTGGAAATGGCTTTAGACCTAGAAATAGCATTGTGTTTCCTCCCTCCCCTCCCCTTTTCATACCCAATCTCCTCCCAAACTTTGATGATAAAGAGGTTTCCTCTGGACACCCAGTAACATAGGAATCCAAATGCAAATGACTACCTCACAACTCTGCTGATGCACTCTGGAGGGTATGATTATTTCTTGATTATAAGTTGCTTTCACAGATGTTATATCATGTGAATTTTTAAAAAATTGTGTGAATTTGGAAGAGCATTATTATTCTTATCTCAGTGAAGAAACTAAGGTACAAGAAGATGTAACTCACCCAAGGTGATAGCTAGTAAGCACTAAAGCCAGGACTCCTGTCTTTGTTGCTATTCAGTATTGACACCCTTACTTAAGAGGTTTGGGTGGACTGGTAGTGGATGCAGGAAGCATTATTATTAAAATGCTTTTATTGTATAAAGTGAGACCATTACAACCTCAAACCCCATACTAAGTATAGACTATACTTTTGAAAACTGTTCTAGTGATAGTGGAAGAGAGGTGTTCTATGTTGCAGAAGCCTTTTGCAGTGTGAATGGAATCCCCAAATCCTTCTGGGAAATGGTCTAAGACAAAAGTTTTAGAAATTTGTACTGATCTTAAAAAGGAAGAAATGAATACTATATGTAGTTTGCAAATTCAGGAGAATGTTCTAAGGAACATGCAATAGTGGTTTGTGCAAATTAGATGACACCCTAAACCAGAAAGGGCTTTGTAGAGCTAGTTATTTAAGCAATCCACCAATAGGATGCCAACATTTAAGCATGTTCTATGTGAGTACTTTATGTCAAAATCACAGTGAGAGACCTCAGAATGGGTCTCATTTCCATATGTCTTATTAGCAGGGGAAGTAACTAACCTTATTCCATTCCATCATTAAAAAAATGTTTGTAGAGTGAACAGCCTTGGAAGATGCAGACAGTGTATCCCTCCAAAGAAAAGGGGAGGCATGCTTACTGTTCAGTATAAAAGATTTGGATTCCCCAAACTCAGGGTCCCTCTCTCATAATGTACATACAGGAGTCTCCTGACCCTTGTTGTGTTCTCCTATGTGAACTGGTACTTCAGGAACCGGTACAAGGAAATTCTGGCTATCTCCTCTACCACTGAGAGTGATAAAGTCTCTTGTCTCTAATCCAGACATGGGGTGCCTTCCTGCAGCATCCATAAAAGTATGACAGTGTTATAACTTAAATGTTAGCTTGCAAATAGCCTTCGTGGTCCTGACAAGTCACAAGGCGCCTCTCCCTTGCACAGTTTGTGGCCTAGTGCAAAACAAAATCAACAACACAACAGCAAAAATACAGGGCATTTTTGAGTCCATGCCTATGCAGTTTCCTGCATCTTATCTATTTCTGGTAGAATGATTCTGGCATTTCACAATGGACCATTTTTTTGTGGATACCAGATATGTAGTTGGTAGAAAGAAATCAGCAAATGACATTTCAGAGAATTTGGGAACTTTCAGATAATTCACTGCTGCTCTTCCACCCCTGACTATGGCTCTGTAAGACCAGTCTTGAGCAGGTCTTACAGGGACTGGGACATAGGTCTTTAGTCTGAGGAGCTGCTTTTACTTTCTCATTTTATTGCTCAATACATTTGGGAATTATCCTCACTGTTCCCCACTAGACTTGATTTTCATCCTTAGTTCAGTACTAGGCTTCCATTTCTGAATAAACTTCCAGTTCATTTTTGTATGATAGTTCTTTTCAAGGTAAATGATTTCAATGTCTTGATTTTTCTTATGATGATGAACAATAACACAGGAGACCATCTCTGATGAGATTTATGCTCATTTAAGATTTATGCTCATTTAAATTTTTCTTTAGCATTCTGGGTTAAGCAGGGTCCAGTTGTGGGTAGGAAAGTTCTCCAAGCTTGGGCTCTCTTCTTGTTAAAGGTTAATGTGATTTCCTAAGACGTAATGCTGCCCAGTAACATTGACATTCACTTCTATACCTGATGCCTTTGATTTATGCTAACTGTCCTCAGGGTATGGACCTTAGTTTGGTCCCACTAACTTATGCTCCACTGATTCTTCCACAATTCTACCTTCTCTCATCCAAGCCCCCAGTAAGTCACCCATTTGATTCTGGGAGTTAGTCAGACCAGTTAAATATTTGTAAAATGATTGAATAAAGATATTTGGTCTTTTTAAATATTTTTTGACTTCTTCAATCTAATTAGAACGTTGATTTCCCCAATAAGAAAGTACATGGAAAGAGGAAAAATAATGCTACAAATAATACAATAATCTTAATCGTAATAGCAACATTGGCTGCATACTTACTATATACCAGATACTATGCCAAGTCTTTACATGTATTGCCACGTTTAATTATCACAGAATTACTGTATGGTTATCAGTATTTCACAGATAAAAAACAGGGGCCCAGAGAGACTTTATATAGTTTTTTAAAGTCGCACAGTGATGGGACTAAGATTCTCCTGCCTCCTAAGGGCCAGAGCATCTGCTATACATACTACATACTTAAAGAAGAAAGCTGAGCTGTTACTTTTGGGTAAGCCTGACTTATTCATAAAAAATGCCTTTTTTTATCCCAAGTGATAGATGAGTCATTAAGAAATGCACTTAAGGAGAGAATCTAAAAAGTAGCAAAGAAAAGGAGACAGTTACCTACTATCAGCTGATTTCTCAAAAGAAACCTTACAGGCAAGAAGGTGCTGGAAAGAACTTTTGAAGTCATGAAAGGCAAGGACTTACATCTAAGATTACTTTATCCAGCAAAGCTAACATTTAGAATGGAAGGGCAGATAAAGTGCTTTCCAGATAAGGTCAAGTTAAAGGAGTTTATCCTCATCAAGCCCTATTATATGAAATGTTAAAGGAACTTGTCTAAGAAAAAGAAGATAAAAATATGAACAGTAAAATGACAACAAACTCACAACTATTAACAACCGAACCCAAAAAGAAACAGAAACAAAAATGAACTAAGCAAACAATAGAACAGAAACAGAACCACAGAAATGGAGATCACGTGGAGGTTATCAGCAGGGGAGTGGGCGGGGGAGAGAGGGGGGAAGGTACAGGGAATAAGAAGCATAAATTGTAGGTACAAAATAGACAGGGGGAGGTTAAGAATAGTATGGGAAATATAGAAGCCAAGGGCATGGCTAAAGGGTGGGGGAATGCAGATGACGGGGGTGTGCAGGGCAGAGAGGAATAAAGGAGGGAAAATGGGACAACTGTAATAGCATAATCAATAAAATATATTTAAAAACAAAAAGAAATGCACTTGAAAACTTAGATCAGAACCAAGTCAGAAAACCTGGCCCTTGTTGAGAGCAAGCTATAGGTGTTCTCATTCAATTCTTCATTTACGGATAGATCTCCCTGTCACACCAACTGGGTGACTAATTAATTTATTCTAAAAATATATATCGAAACCTGAATCGGTTCATAGCACTTTCCTTTAAGGATTCTGGCTAAGTGAAGAGAAGTCATTTTGGGGAGGGAGGAGAACATCTATTGTGGACCTTCCCAAGGTCAGGAGTTTCTGCCAGGGAATGGGAGGAAGATCCAGTGGCTGTGAGTGGCCATGAGATGTGACTGGGGAACTTGCGTTGCATCTAAGTTCCTGAGGGCAGGGACTGTCTGCATCTTTCCTGCCCAGTGTGCTACCTGACACACATGAGTTGCTTCATATATGTGGTCCAGTTCAATGAAAACAGCAGCCTTCTCAGATGGGCTTTGATTTGTGGAGCCTTAATCATTCTGGAATTTTGCTTATTAAGTAGTTGATTGGAATAATATTGGGTATATTGCTTATTATAAATGTTTGGATATTTGATTAAATATGACTACATTGCAGTTTCTGCTGTTTCTTTTTCTTTAATCAGAAAATAACCTCATCATTCATCACATCTGATATCCTTTAGTACTGTATTTTGGATCAGAGCAGTTTTTTTCTTTTTTTTTTTAACTCCTGAGGTTCAGAGGATAATATCATAGAAAAACTTCTTACCTGTGACTAAACTATGTAAAAAAGTGTGCACAGTCTCCTAGATTAGTCATAGTCTACTAGATGACTTAAGAAACTGACAATATTTGAAAGATTTTGACCTTTCATGGTTTGACATAATGAGTTTTGTTTTTTTCTTCTTTTTAAAAGTGGAACACCTGAGATAGCTATCAAAGAATAAATATAGCTTCACAAATATTTCTATGGTACCCTCTCTATGGAGACTTAACTTCTGGACATCATGGAAGATTGGCATTTTCCTTTTCCCTTATCAAAATTCTTCCTAACTGGATGGCCTGCACTGCAAACTAGCTTCCCCATCTCTGGCTGTTATGTGAGTTTGTGCTGGACAATTTACTTCATATTATTTGAGGACTTGTGAGTATTATTAGAATAAGAGGAAACCATGAAAATTATGGGTTCTTGGTTCAGTACTCTAACAAATATTTACCGAATGCCAACAAAAACAATATTTACTGCATGAGCGGAAAACAGAAAGACACAGTTCTTGCCTCTTCAGAATTTATTGTGTATGGTTTGTATCGTTATATCAATATTTGTACTATAAGTAAATGTAAAATTATAGCTATGATCCATGCTTTGAAGGTATGTGCGTAACAGTATAAGTGTAAATGTTGGGGGGAATGATCAAGTCAGGGAGGTCAGGGAGGATCTTTCTGAGGAAGTGGTGGCTGAGTCAAGGTCAAGTACAGTTGTTAACCAGATGAAAGGAGACCCGTGGTGGGGATATGAAGCAACCCAGTTCAGTTCAGTTCAGTGAATGTTTATGGAACACGTACCGTATGCCAGACCCTATGCTTAGGTGCTGGGAAATAAAAACCGAATGAGACATGGTCTTTGCCCCCATAAATAACTCACTATAAAGGGTTTCATTGTTCTGTAATTCATAAATTAGGAGAGTCACTCTGTATGTATTTGTTTTGCTTCTTTATAGTTCGAGTTTCCTTTGTGTCAAAATTACCTCAGTTAGTCAAGCCCTTCCCAAGAGATCAAACACAGTCTTTTTGTTATGGAGTCAAAGTTTAACAAACATGCACAGTCTGTTAACTTAAAAGTCCAGCTACGCTACCCCAGGCTTTACCATGCACCAAAACATGGTCCCCTAGCAGAGCCTGTGTGTGTCTCGGAGCCCGCGAAGAGTGGCTCCAGGAAGGAAGCTCGGCTGCCACCGAACAAGAGACCCATTATTACTTTATCTCTCTCTCTTTTTTTAACTGTTAACTAACATGACTGAATTATTAACCCAGCCATAGAAACAAATGATAAACACACTGTATGTGCACTTGATTAGTCTGTTTTTATGTTGAGTATTACTCAGACTAGGAGCACAAACTCCTGTGGCACACATATGAAGGGTCAAGGGCATAAACAAAGAGGGGAGGCAGGAACGGTAGTGAAATGGAGGCTATTACACCTGCGGAAACAGAGCAGAGCAGCAACAGAGCACACAGTAGTGCTGGGGTTTTGCTTTGGACTACGGGGCAGGCCCCACTCACCGCACCTCCCGAAAGCACATTCCAAGCCTGTCACTCTCCCTCTCCACAAAGGTCTAGGCCCTCTCAGCACCCTCCCGCCTGTGATTCTGGCAGAGCTCCTCACTGATTCTTGCCCTTCTTGGCTTCATACCCTGGTCTCGGTGGAGACCTTGCCACAGGGCTAGTTTTGAGCAGTGGGTCCGCTGCTCTTCTGTTTAACCAAGTCTGGGTTCCTGCAGCACCAAGCTCAAGGTGGCCAGGATGCCACCCTGACCACCGGACTGCCTGGCCTGCACCTTTTGCTAGGACTGCCAGACCTCCACAAAGGGATAGAGGAGGACATTGTTCTGTATCTCGGTTCTGCTGTCTCATTTCCTTATTTTCTCACTTTTCCCTTTTTTTTTTTTTGCAGGGCTTCACAAACTTTGCTTATAAGGTAATGTCAACATTGTATACTATCAAGGCTCTCTCATCCTGACTACGAGTCCTAAATATGTTTCCTTTTTCTCCTGTGTTTTATCATCATCATCATCATCATTATTATTGGCTTCTTTTTGAGGGTTGATTTATTAGGGGGCAGGTAATATTGCCAGGTTCTAGAAGAGGATGTTTACATATTGTATCACTAGGTGCCTTGTCCAACTTTACATCCTTTCCTTTATCATGGAGCAATCAAGGAGAAAACAGCAGTAGTTCCCAAACTTTCTTTCTTAATTGAGTAAGAGCAATCAACAGTGTACAGATCCAATAAAGATGTTAATGAACTGGTTGAATATTAGTAGTCTGAGTTTATCGTTAAGTTTTAGTTTTGAAGGCAGTAGGAAATTAAGTTAGAGACAGCAGCAGTGAGTGGCCTTTCAGAAAATGCAAAATATGCACTCATACCCACAATCCATAAAACTTTTGAGACTTTGCATTTGCAAATTCATTGTGTGTTCTGTCTTTAACAATTTCACACTCTTCCTGTGAAGAGTTATTATCAGTCCTGTTCCTGGGAGCTGTGATTTTTGCTAAGATTTCTAAATGAATGTGGCAAATAACATTATCAGACCGTCTAGCGAGTTGTTTGTGCTTTCGAGACTATTCTGTAAAAAGGAATTTATGTGAGTACCATTTGATCACTGAATAACTGTCTTGCTTAATTTTTTCTGGAAATATTATTAACAATATACTTTAGCAATGATCTAGCCCAAGATGTTCTTGTGTTATTTTGGAGCAAGTTGGGAGTGACTCATAGCATGTTGGGCGGCCAAGCTATGGTTAACTGGTGGTCAAGTTAGGAAATTCTGTTCCCAATAACTCTCCTTTTCTTAGCCCAGAACACCTCTCCACTCAGTTTTTTTCTTCTGATTCGTCACACTCATAGTCTCTGCTTGGTGTTTTCAGACCAAAAGTAGAAGCAGCGACATGCCATAATAAGTATTGTTCCTATTGCACTTCCAGCTTAGCTAAAAACAGGAAATACAGGCCATTTCGTGGAAAAGCCTGCTTTTGTGATATTTCCAACCCAAGAGGTTTGGATCAACTTTGGTTGAGCGTCTGAACTTTTGGCTTCTTACTTACAGTAAATGTTTTAACTTCAGAATTTTAGCACCATTTCTACTTATAAGAGAATGCCTTCCATATTTAGATAATGCTGACACATGAGTTTACTTTTAAACCATTTTTTAAATTTATATTGGGATGTACTTGTAGCCAAAAAGGTGCATAAGAACCTTGTGTGAATCATGAGATTTAAAGCATTTAAAGTCGAAAGAGCTATATTTTCATAGTTTCAAGACTTTACTTACTTATGGGACAGTTTCTTAAAAAAAAAGAGGTTTATTATTCTAAGGCTTTGCTCATTAAGTGAATATATGATACAGAAATTTACTAGGTAACATAAATCCAGAAGCAAAAATTCCAGGTTAGGTAAAATAGTCAGACTCTTCTGGTATAGAATATCCAGACCTACCAGAAAAATAAATATAAATCTATCAGAAAAATAAATCTAAATTACTCTGCACTCTAATAATCAGCCAACTGATTTTTAGTAATCCTTGCAGGCAGAGGGAGTTAAAAGTTGGAACTTCATGTAGACCATATCTTTTTAAAGTTCCATCGAGGTAAAAATCTAATTAGATAGATTAGCAGAAGTCACATATGATTAGATTTATGTGATTCCAGTCAAATAGGGTTCGTTTGGGAAACTCACTTTGTTATTTTCCAACATCGGGGGGGTCCTAATCTTTCTTGGTCTCTATGTTTTGTGACTGTGTGGACTGCCCGTCATGAATTGAATGGATTGCATTGTTTCATTTGTTCTGTTCTGATTTAGCCATCTACCGGGATTCTATAAACCATGTGTTCTGGTCTTTAAGCATGGTACATGGTGATATGAACTATAGTTCCAGATTGAGTTAAGTAAGTTTTTTTGATTACCTTCATAATATACTATTTGCTACATTTCTCTGCACCTTTGATTTCATATTAAAGGCAAGTCATCTCAAGAAAGGAAGATGAAAAAATAATAATGTCAAGGAACATTAGATAACAGAGTCATTTTCAGAGGAACCAGATCCCTTCAGCTTTAACCCTTATTCAGAAAGGAATTTAATTCAATATTTGTTGAAGTTCTGAAATGACTGAATAGTTCCCTTTATTCTATGTCTTCTTATTTCCATTTAGCTGGAATGTACTGAACAGGATTACAAATGACTGTTCTTTCATTTTTTATGGTTTAGACTAAAAGTAAAGTGCCAGAGTTCTTAAAGTAATCTCTCTTTATGAGATTCCAAGCCTTGTGCAGTCTTAGAAGGTGGAGACAGCATTTAGGTTTTTAAAATTTCATCAAACTGTATATAACATACTGAGCTTTTAAAATTTTGCTCATGGTCAGATGACAACACAAGCTTCCGTCCTCAGGTCAGCCCTCCTCCCCTTACTTTTTTCCAAAGCAAGAAAAACAAAGTAAGAGACAGCTAATACCTGTTAACATTCTGCCTAAGCCTACATTTTTCTATTGTGTCTGTATCACATGATATCCATTTTCCCCCCTTAATTCTTGGAATAATATCATTCACAATTTAAGATCTTACATTTCAGATTTTAAGGCTCTAGCTGAATAACACTGGATGAGTTGGAAAGTCCTAATAGTGAATTTATAAAGAAAATGTTGACAGGGCTTGAATTCTCATAGTGCTGGTGAGTACCATGATTATAATAATGGTTTCCTTTTAAACTCTTCCATTAAATGTTCCAAACAGTGGAATTTGTAGTTTTTCCTTTGGTCCAGAGATCAAAAACATGAACAATTTTACATTTCTAAGGTTGGACAGCGTGTGTGTTTCCACAATTTCTGTGGGAAAGCAACCCGCCCTTTCTCAGTTTTATTAAAAACCACCATGTTGGCTTCAATATGTGCCATTACAAGCACTTTCATTACGTCTCATATCTCCTTTTAGGAAGTAGAAGTCTGCCTCTTGCTTTTTTTTACTTATTGACTTTCCAAGACTACATACTGTAAGTGAAAAGTGGTTTAGAAAATTGAAGATAGGGTAACATAGTGGTTAAAAGGGTAAACAAATGTGAGAGATGGATTGTTTGAGGTCATAGCCTTTCTCTACCATTAGTAGCTACATGACTTAGGCAAATTACGTAACTCTAAGCCTTAGTTTCCCCATCTATAAAATGTGTATACTAATAGTATTTGCCTTATAAGGCTTTTGTAAGGTTAGAAAAGGTAACAAATGCCAAGTGACTGGATCACAGTAAATTCTCAACCACTGGTGCCATTGCCCATTGTTCTACTTTTTAACAGAGAGTTTGGAAATATTTTCTAGTAGTAATTACTGTCTTACTAAGACGATTTTATTTTGTACCAAGCATGTTTTAGTGTTTCTATTTCAGAATAAAAAGAATTAAAGTGGATTCATTCAACATCTTTACTGAGTACCCACTGTGTGCCAGTTGACCAAAAAGGTTTTTCCTTTAAAGATCTCATAAAATAGCTACTGTATTTGTGCACTGGAATCATCCTTATATTAGAAGGAAAGCCATTTTTTAAAGTTGAGTTGAATGGGCTCAAGATTTTGGTCTTTCGTATATTAGAATGCAACTTTTTAAAAATTAATGTGGAATATACAGTTTAATTGCAGGAAAAGGTTTATTATAACTCAAATATCCCAGAATCTCCAAGACTTAATATAGGGAATGTTAATAAATGTCATATTTCTTTTTGAAGTAATTTTTGTTCACAAGTAATCTGTGAACTTCACAGGTTGCTTCTTCTCACAAAGACTACTGAAGTCAAACCTAAAGGGTATTCTTGTAATTCAGTTATCTATATTTTGAGAGAGCCTTTGAAATTTATTTTTTTTAAATTGTTGTTCAAGTACAATTGTCTCCATTTTCCTGCCTCAACTTTCCTCCACTCTACCCACCCTGCCCTCAATCCTTCTCCCCTTTGGCTTTGTCCATGATCCTTTATACAAGTTCCTTGATGACACTTAAGTACCTAGGAATAAACCTAACCAAGAAGGTAAAAGACCTGTACTCAGAAAACTACACAACACTGAAGAGAGAAATTAAGGAAGACACAGATAAATGGAAGCATATAATGTGTTCATACATTGGAAGAATTAACATCATCAGACTGTCCATAGTACCCAAAGCAATTTATAGATTCAATGGAATCCCTGTTAAAATACCAATGACATATTTCACAGATCTAGAACAAACATTTAAAAAATTTATATGGAACCATAAATGACCCCAAATAGCCACAGCAATTTTTAGAAACAAGAACGAAGTAGGAGGGATCAAATACCTGATATCAAACTATATTATAAGACCTTTATAATAAAAACAGTCTGGTATTGTCATAAGAATAGACACATAGATCAATGGAACAGAATAGAGAGCCCAGAAATAAACCCAAGTCTTTATGGTTAATTCATATTTGACAAAGGGGGCAGTAGCATAAAATGGAGTAAAAATAGCCTCTTCAGCAAATGGTGTTGAGACATCTGGACAAAAAAAGAAAAAAGAAAAAAGAAAAAAGAAACCATCAACTTACACCATACACAAAAATAAACTCAAGATGTATAAAAGACTTAAATATAAGTCACAGCACCATAAAAGTCCTAGAAGAGAACATAGGCAGGAAAATCTCGGATACTCAACACAGCAACATTTTCACCGATATGTCCCCTAGAGCAAGGGACATAAAAGGAATGCATTTCTTTTAAAAACAACAATATTTTTTAATGGAAAAGAGCAATGTGTTTTAGGATTTAGTGTTATTTAGATTTTTTTCTCACAATAAGAATAATTGAGGCCTTAAGTAGAGGAACTTTTTAACTGAGTCCTATCTTAAGCACTTCCTTGTTTTTTACTTATTTATTCAGGGGTTAATTCTGCTATGGCCTTGAAGTAATTTACAAAGAAAACAAACAAAAGAATACAGCTATAAAATGATTAATACAGAATTTTCTAATGGTAGAAAGAGGAGGGAAAGAATGGATTTATGCAAGTAGTAAATCTTCATGGTCGCCATTGTCCTGCTTTAAATTTCCCATTTATTTTACTGGGCTGAATGTACACTGAACTGCTGTGATTCTTGAAGAGAATGATTGTAATTCTGGAGTCTCTTTAATCAAATAATGCAATAAACAATTTTGGAACACCTATTAAGTTCATTATTACCCTATGCCCATCAACCGTTTATGTTGGAAGAATTCAATTGTTATGTCTCAACTCTCACTAATTGATTTATCAATTTAACAACACATTTTTGTATATTATATTCAAGACAGTGAGTATGGGAAGTGGGTTGGGCTTTTTCTATTTTACTATAAATTACGATGTTTGCTGTATGGGTTTTTTGTTTGTTTTATTTTCATAGCTTTCTTTTATCAGATTATGGAAGTTCTCTCTATTCCTAGGTTAAGAATTTTTTCCTATCATTAATGAATGTTGAGTTTTATCAAATAATTATATTTTTCTGGATCATTTGAGCTGACCATGTGAGTTTTCTTTTTTCCTTTTCCGTAAGTTTGTACGTCTGCCTTTCTGGGGGAAGCCCATTTTGACTGTAGCGTGTTTTTCCTTTTTTTGTACATCTGGACTTACTTTGCTTATAATTTGTATATGATTTTTTGTATCTATGTTCATAGGAAGGTTGTCTTGTTCTTGTGGTGTGTCTTTCCTATAAAATTCTTGTCAGATTTTGATATCAACCTGCTGTCCTCACAAAATGAGATGGGAGACGTTCCCTTGTTTCCTTTCTCTCAAAGACTTTGTGTAAAATTGGTGTTATTTCTTAAAGGTTTTGAGGAGTCACTGATGAAACCTCGGCATGAAGTTCTCTTCTTGGGAGAGAATCTACTGACTTAATTTCTTTGTAGATATAGTACTATTAAGATTTTTCCTTTTTTCTTGTGTCAATTTTCTCCTTCTTTCCTTTCTTCCTCCCTTCCATCTTTCCTTCCTTCTTTCCATCCATCTATTCAGCCCTTATTTTTCCTTTCTGCAGTTCTATTTTTAAAAATTTTGTAAATATGTAATAAATACATAGTATCTTTTAATAAATATATAGTATCTATGTTATTCTGGAACTTACTTTACTTTTTAGTAATATATCCTGGATTTTTTATATCAGTATCTTTAAGGTAACCTCACTCTTTTCATGGCTGTGTAACATTCCATAGTCTGCAATCACCATATTTTATTTAACAAATCCTCTATTGAGGAATATTTAGATTATTTCCAATTTTTGACTGTTATAAACAATAATGTAAGAAACATTATTGCATATATATCTGAATATTTAAATAGAAGTACTTCTGTTTCATCTTACTTTTATTTTTTCATTTCTTAGGAGTAAGTAGATCCATCCTAAACTGAAACAAATAGATCGCTGCTGCTTCTTCTGAAGAAAAAAAGGGAGAACAGCTAGAGAAATACAGTGGAGCTAGGACTAAAAGGACTTGCTGATGAATTCCATATGGAAATTAGAAGAAGGCTAGTTTATAAATATGTTAAGTATTCTATGGATTATCTATAAATTCTAATGGCAACATATTAACTGGGTACTTTTAAATTCTTCCTTGAATGTTCATAAATTAAAAAGTTAATATCTACTGGGATAGCTGGGTTTATTTTGGTCTTTTTGTAAAATTAAAAAGTGAAAAAAGAACAACAGAAAAGGATTTTTAACAGAATAATAATCCCAGCCTAATAATTGCTCTTGAAGACCTTACACGTGTCCTTCATCCTAAGGGAAATTCCTGCTTTTCTGGCCTTTTCAGTTCACAAAGAATAAATGTCCAGAAGCAGAGATATTATGTAGAATTTTTTCAAGTTAGGAGAGTGATGAAAGGAATACAGGAACATCGCTCTCTAGGCTTTCCTTATTGCTCATGCACATTTCTGTGGAATTTAATGACCTCAAGAAAAGCAGATGATTTTCATGTAACTTCATTTAAAATAAACTTAATCTACACCAGTGTGTCCTTCAACTTAATGCACACATAAATTACTTGGAGGTTTGTGGAAATGAAGATTCTGACTCAGGAAGTCTGGGTGGGCCCAAGATTCTGCATGTCTACCAAGCTCTCATCTGGCCCACAGACCACACGGGAACAGGAAGGGTCTCGGCCTCTCTCCGCATAGGCATTTTCCCTGCTCTTAATGGCTTTTATGTTTTAGTGTTTCAGTAAACCCAACCAGTAAACTCATTGGAGCAGCTGACTTATTAAAACACACTTGGTAAGAAGAAGAAACAAATAAGGAATATATTTTTCCTCTGGAAAAAATATTTCTGGATTTACAATTCTCTTTCCATCCTTGGTCTGAGAAAGCCTGGCATATTGATTGTTTTCTGGGGTTCTTTACCCTAATGACTCAGATTCTAATTACATTCCAAATTATGACTATTTCCCTAAATATTCCCAGCTGCTTTCAAGATGAACTCTATAACATCACTAGAAAAAGACTCTCTGTGGCCTTTTTTGGAAAAATCTAAAATATGATCCCAAATAGCTTTTTAAAAACATGTGATGTTCAGAAGACCACAGAATTTTAGGGTATCTTTTCAAGTCAGCATTAATCATATATGGTTTTGTTCTGAAAGCATTTCTTTCTAAATGACATACATTAAAAAAAGCACATATCAATTGAGACAAGATATTGGCACAGGAGAGGCTATAACTCAGAAACCTTATCTGAGAATGACAGTTTAATATGTTTTTGTCTCAATAATAGTTACTGTATATTATCAAACTAGTTACAAACCAAAATGGAGGGCCCACTGGGTGTCCAACCTGTGGCCTGTGGACTGCATTCAGCCCAGAATGGCTAGGAATGTGGTCCAACACACAATTGTAAATTTACTTTAAACACCATGAGATGTTTTTGTGATTACATGTTGCAATGTATTTAATGTGTGGCCTAAGACAACTCTTCTTCTTCCAGTGTGGCCCAGAAATGCCAAAAGGTTGGACAACAAGCTAAAGTACTAAGTTGCAAGTGCCAGAATATTTGCACATAAAATTGAAGTAAAAATTATTTAATCAAAAATGTATTTTATACAAATTACTACTTTATGAATACTCAGAATATCATGAACACAAATATGACTTTTGAAAACCTTATTACCCCTCAAAGTATGGTAATTCTAAAGATGTACTATTACCTAATTATTGAAATGTCATTCTAGTTGGGTATTTACAAAAAATATATTGCATCAAGTTAAGTATTTACTCAGCTGAAAACATGGCAGCAAGACATCCTTCCTGCTATTATGCAATTATGCATCTTTTTCTAAGAGCTCTTCAATTTCTGACCCTTCTACATTTTAATGTGTTATTTTATAGCCTTGGCTGGTGTGGCTCAGTGGATTGAGTGCCGGCTTGTGAACCAAAGGGTCATGGGTTCCATTCCCAGACAGGGCACATGCCTGGAATGCGGGCGGGTCCCCAGTAGAGAGTATGTGTAAGGCAACCACACAGTGATGTTTCTCTCCCTCTCATTCTTTCTCCCTTCCCCTCTGTCTAAAAATAAACAAATGAAGTCTTGAAAAATAATATTATTTTATATGTACAAATTATATGTAATATGAATAATGTATGAAACATTTCCAATACCTATGAATTGGTGAACTCCAGAAAAGTTAGAAAAATACCATACCTTTGTCTACTTTACTTATCTATCTTCTCCTCAGAGGTAACCTCTATGCAGAATTTTGAAATTAATGATTCTGTTAAAAATAGTTTAACACAGGACCATATGAATTGAAATAAGATATTATTTATTCGCTTTTTGAGTTTTATTAAAATGGTTTCATAATGTATATGTCTAGCATTTCCTACTTGATATTGTTTCTGAGATCATACATATTAATGTCAGCAGGTTATTTCTTTTTACTGTTATGTAATATTGACTTGAGAATATATAAAAATTTGTTCTTTTGTAAGTGGGCCTTTAATTTCCTAGATTTTTATTGTTGTTATGAAATATGCTTCTCTCAACATTCTAGTGAATTTCTCCTGATGCACAAATAAAGAGATTTTTTTAGGTTGTAGATATTTTGGAATTGAATTGCTGGGTCATAGCAAATGATCATCTTTTCAAAATAATACCAAGTTATTTTCCACTGCACAATTGTATAGTCCCACAAACAATGTGTATGAATTCTCATTGGTCCATATCTTCTCTTGTTATGTGTCTTCATTTTTATTAAAATCACTATAAAATTATCTTAATTTGAAGTTGCTCGACTATTATTTGAGTTGATTTTTATGTTTATTGACCATTTGTGTTTGTTCATGCTTTTGCTCATTTTTTCTGTTGGGTTATTTGTCTTTGTTAATGTTTCATTTTTCATTTAAGGACTGTATTATATACCAATTTTTTCCTAATTAATTTCCAAACAGGGAATACATCTAATCTTATATTAGATTTAGGTTCTTCTCACAGAGTAGTGCAGTTCTGATCCACCATCCCAATGATAACAGGTGTGCATAAACCCAGAGGACTGCATACACATAATTTTATATACACAGAGAGGCATATTCACGTGTTTTTTGTGTTAAAAATTATATATAGGTACACATGTGTTATATATATGTTGTGTGCATGTGCGTGTGTATACATATCAATATCACACAACTATTGAAGCTACTGGAGTACAAAAAAGGTGGGCAGAAACTGGAGAAGCCCTGATACTTAGAAGCAGGATTAGCATTAGGTAACTTTCCCATAGTTAATGCTTTTCACCTAAGGGCAGCTCTAGTCAGCACTGTAGTCAGGGTGTAGTGAATGGATAGTGGGGGTGAAAATTCTAGAAAGGAGGGAGAGCCCACTATTTTTCATGTTTACTTTGTCCAAGTATCTTGGTGATCTCTGAGAGCCACCTGTGGTTGAAAGTGTTGAACAGAGATTTCAGGTGCTGACCCCATCATTGGGCAAGCATTTTGGAGTTTGAGTTTGCCAAGGTGCCTTTCTGCTAAAATAAACAAATAAATAAAACCTCAATATTCTTCACAGAAGTACAGAAGTATGTATATTTTCTACAAGATTTAGGATGAAGGCAAAATTTCCAGAAGAAAACAGGAAAGTGATAGTCATACTCAAGAGAAAAAGTAATTAATGGAGACTTACTCTAAGAAATTGGAATTATCAAACAACATCACAAAGCAGCTATTATAACTATATAAACATGTAGAGAAAAATATGATCAAAATAAGTCAGTGGAGAATTTCAACTGCAAGATAGGAAACTCTAAAAAAGAGTCAAATAGAAAGTTTAGAACTAAAAATATGATATCTGAAATGAAAAAGATAACTGGGCAGGTTTAAAACTGCTTAAAGATGGTGGAGAAAAAGGCAATGAATTTTAAGATCGATAACAGCAGTTAGTTAATAACAAAGACAAATTAAAAAATGAACAGAGACTTTGTCACTTGAAGGATAATATCAGAAGGTCTAACTTGAATATTAAGTAGAATCTGAAGATAGAAAATAATACAGAAAAATGATTTGAGGAAATAATGACCTAAAAGCTCTCAAATATAATGAAAGATATATGTGGTAATATTACTAAATGCTGTCAGTTCTATTGCTAGAAATCCTTGTGAATCCAGCCTGTCTTTTCTGTCTGCTATTGCCCTTCATTTGGACTATTGCAACAGCCTCCTGTTTGTCACTTGGAGACCTGTCACCTAGTTTTAGTGTATCCTCCAGATTGTCGCTGGAGTTACATATCTAAAATCAGGGTGGAATTGTCCTATAGTTTTTTTTTTTTTCACCGCTGGTTGGTAATCACTTAAAATGATGGCTTTCTTCATTCTTGAGACTGGCGCCGTAGGCAGGTTGTAGTGGGGAGGTCAGTTTGTGGTATTTGAAGGTTGGAGGTTCATGTTTAGGTGCTTGTAGATCTTTGTGTCTCCACCTCCTGGAATTCTGAACACTAGTGACTTTGTAAGTCCTTAGTTAAGACATTAGGTCACTGGATCAGAGAGAGCTAGTGAGTGGTAAAAAACACAGCATTTTCTCTTTACTGATCAACAACCCAACTGTTGTAGGAAAAACTGTGTTCTCCCCAAGATATGTTGAAGTCCCAAATGCTGAAACACATGAAAATGACCTTCTTTGGAATTAAGGTCTTTGCAGATGTAATCAAGTTAAAGTGAGATTATACTGGGTAAGTGTGGGCCCTAATTAATGACTAGTATCCTTATAAGAAGAGGGAGACTCGGACACAGACACACATAGGGGAGAGAGGAGGCCATGTGAAGGCAGGGGCAGAGATTAGAGTGATGCATCCATAAGCCAAGGAACACCAAAGATTGCTAGTAACCACCATGATCTAGAAGAGGCTAGGAAGCACTCTTTCCCAACACTGATTTCACATTTATAGCCTCCAGTATTTAAGAGAACAAATTTCTGTTGTTTTAACACACCTGGTTTGTTACTGTAATCCTAGGAAACCAATACAGCAAGGATTAGAAAAAGAATCATCCAACTCTTAAAATGTAGACAGGAGAGTTTTCTGCTCCCGCTCCCATATTTCTGCAGATCTAAGCAGGAGCTCTCTCTCAGCCTCTAGCATTTTAGTCTCCTAGTGCAATCCTTTCTGTGGAAGTCCTCCAGAACAAATTGGGCATCTCTCATGGGACAAGGCAGGCAGCTTCCAGCCTGTTCCGATGGTATGTACAGGTGTCCTGAGATGAAGTCTTCTTCCGATGCTGCAGGGTCCGGGTCATCCCCTAGCCTCTGTACTTGAAGCCTATGCTCCAGCCTACCATGGTGCTTGACCTCAGAGAGCCTCATGTGCATCCCCAGCTCTTCTAGTTTGCTCTGTGCAGCCAGACCACCATCTCCCTAGAATGTTAAACTAAATTATTGACCAGGAAAGAGGAAAGTATTTTGGAGTAGAGTGTTGTTATATTTGAGATGGATGGATGATGGGTGGATGGATGGATGATGGATGTATAGACACACAATATACAGAGTCTGGCACTGATAATGCCCCTTTTTATTACAAAATATTTTATTACAAAATCATAAGCATGTAATTCTGTAACAACAATATCACACTCAAGTACACCACATGGCATTTTAGGGGAAATGTCCAAATTGCTCTTCATCTCATGCAAGACATTCATGTACCCTACCAACAACACTCAAGCAGGCCTTACTTTTGCCGGGCCCTGTATAATCATGCATACATGTGATCGTGTATATGTATATTTGACTTCCCTCTTCAAATACTTTCAAATACTTTATTTGGTGAATAAAATCTAAAATATAAGCTCTTAGTCTAGCATTCAAGACTAGCCACTACATTGCCTGACAGTTCCCTTTACATAGTTGCTAATCCAGCTGAATTTATGAATTTATTGAACTGCTTCCCTCTCTTTCTTTCTTTCTTTCTTTCTTTCTTTCTTTCTTTCTTCTTTTTTATTTGTTAATAATTTTTAATTTTAAATTCTAGTTGACATATTTTTATTTAATTATTGTTCAAGTACAGTTTTCTGTCTTTTACTCCCATCCCAGCCCACCCCCCGTGCCCCCCACCTCCCTCCCATTTCCACCCCCCTTAGTTGTTGTCCATGTGTCCTTTATACTAGTTCCTGTAAATTCTTCCCCCTTTTCCCCTGAAATTTCCTCCCCTCTCCCCTCTGGTCGCTGTCCCCCCTGTTCTCTATCCTATAAACTCTACTCAAAAACTGCTCGAACTAATAAATGAATTTGGTAAAACAGCGGGTTACAAAGTCAATATCCAGAAATCAAAGGCATTTTTATATACTAACAATAAACCAGCAGAAGCAGAAATCAAGAAAAAATACCATTCAATATAGCAAAAACAAAAATAAAATGTCTGGGAATAAGCCTAACCAAGGAGGTAAAAGACCTGTATGCAGAAAACTACACAACACTGAAGAAAGAAATCAAGGAAGACACAAACAAATGGAAACATATACCGTTTTCATGGATTGGAAGAATTAACATCATGAAAATGTCCGTACTACCCAAAGCAATTTACAGATTCAATGCAATACCTATTAAAGTACCAATGGTATATTTCACAGACATAGAACAAACACTTCAAAAATTTATATGGAACCATAAACTAGCCCAAATAGCAGCTGCTATTTTGAGAAAGAAGAACAAAGTAGGAGGAATCACAATACCTGATATCAAATTGTATTACAAGGCCACTGTAATCAAAACAGCCTGATACTGGCATAAAAACAGGCACACAGACCAATGGAACAGAACAGAGAGCCCAGAAATCAGCCCAACTCTCTACAGTCAATTAATATTCAACAAAGGGGACAGTAACATAAAATGGACTAAAAATTGCCCGCTTCCCACTTTCAAAACCCACAAGAAGGCAGTCTTCCCTGATTTCCACACTGTATTTTGAGCAATTATAATACTTTGCTTTTACCTCCCCAGTTATATTACACATTGTATTGTATTTTTGTACATTTATTTGACCGCTTTTCCCTTGCAGGTGAAAGCTTTTCATTACAAATGAGATGAATAGCACAATGTATTTGTGAAAAATGAAAGCATAGCATTTGGGATGTTTCCTATGAAGAAGAGTCTTCATTGCTGCTGTCATAACTGCGGTAGCTAACATGTACTAAGGGCCTATTCTGTGACAGGCATGCTACACAAATGATCTTAAGCTCTTTCTACCAATGCATGCAGATTTCCTTATATACTTTTATATTCAGCATAGCACATGGCATGATCATAAATATTTGAGAAAGGTTAATCTAGAAGGAAAATGCATGAAGAACATGAAACTTTTGATCCTTCTCTCTTGATTGCAACAGATGAACCATCTTTAAGAAAATTATGCCTCAGCTGATCCATTATGGAAACTACTCCAACATAAACCTCTGTAATAATTGAACTTGTGGGTTTAAACAATAGTGTAAAGAATGAAGCATGTATGGTTTTTAACAACTTCTGTCTTTGAATCACATCTCAGCATCAAGAACTTCAGCCCTGGTGACTGTCTGAAGCTCAAAAGTGTTCACAAGAGGTGCCTAAGGACCAAGTAGCCTGGGGCACTTGGCATTAAATTGAGACGACTTTGAAAACCAGTTCAGATCTTCTATTTTTCCTTTTCTTTCTTACTTTGTATTTCTTTCCGTAATAAGGCTGAGTCTGACCTATTTTTAGGATTTGGCCCATGGAATT